AATATCATTATAATTTTTTGAAATAGACCATCTAACTCCCTTCTCCACTTGAATTCAGATAAGTGAGATTCTATGCTATAAATGTCCTATTCCCCATTGTTTTTTTTTATCACCATTTTGTACTTCCATGCAAATGCTCTTTTCATTGTGAAATTCTATTACCATTTGATGTAGTCTCCATAATACTAATTTATTTCATGATTTCTCACAAAAATAGCATTAATAGGTGAAAAGTTTTTTTTCTTTAGAAACAGCTTATTATTCCATTGTGGGCAAGTCTGAAATTTTTATTACAATTAAGCATATTCAATCCTGGCAAAATAATAAAGAATCAATTACTAAAAATTCACGCAAAGAATGACAGGAAATGGTTGCAATGTCAATAACAAGTGAAAAAATGTTTCCTGATCCCAACTCAAAACATAAAATTAGAAACTTTTGATTAATGATAGCAGCATACAAGATACGAGTAAATAATTAAGAACATTTGAGTAAATGAGTAAGGAAAAAAGGGAGGGTTAAAAGTAATTGCCTTTTTTTAGTAGTTTTTTGTATGCAATTTTCCCTGTCAATTTTCAAAAAATAAAATTAGTAAAAATGTAGGAAAGAGAGGTTACGAAAAAAGAACTACGACTTTTTAATAGAATAGAAAATGGTTATACAGTTCATTCTACTCACAGAAGAGAGAGAAACAGATAAGTATACAATTTCTTTGTGTAAATGCAATGGAGTTTGCCAGTTAATGAAAAAGAAAGTATGGCATTTCTTCAGAAATACGGCATGCTGTTTAATGGTACAGAATGCAAAAATTATCATTCCATGAAGTTGTACTTCTTGAATTTTAGGGATCAAAATTTGTGCGCTGGAGCGAAATGTTTTTTTAAGCAAAAACAGCTGTGTAATTGGGAAGAACGATAGGGTGCACATTGTTAAGTTGTGCATGAGGGCAGGTTTCTGCAATTCTCTGGTGTTTTTTAGACTAAAACAGATCATTGTATTCTTGGGGACATCAGCATGAAAAAAGTAGGTCTTTTATTAATAATGTTTTTTGCATTTTTAATTTTGTTAATTGGTCACTGTGTTATGCAATTCTTAGTACGCTACCATTTTTGAAAATGGCCCTTATCTTACATCTCAACTTGGCAAAAAATTAGTTGCCAAAACTTAGCAACTTTTCAGAAAGGGGAATTGGATAATCAAAGACTACCTTTAATTTCATTGCTTTTAGTTGAAATAGAAAGCAGTTAAGTGTTTATATAAATAAATAATTCCATTGTTTAGTAATGTAAAAAAAAGTTTTTTGTTTTATGGAGATAAAAATACTGTATTCTTTTTAATTATATAAACAGATGTAATAAGCAAAAAAATAACATTGCCTTACGTTACAGTAAATACGTACTTTGGTCTGCAAAAATGAAAAAAGTGAAAAAAAAATACATGCGATTACACAAAACTATAACAATGTCTTAGTAAAACACAAACACCTGAGGCACATGCAATTCAAATATTTAAATACTAATGCATATTACCATCTATCCACAAGATCTTTAAATTCACTAGAAAACACTCCTTCTGGTACAGTTGGTGGAGGCTGAGTAGAAAATTTAAAAAAAAAAAAAATCATTAAATTTATATAATAATTTAATCATGTATCATCAATCATCTTTTATTTTATTTATGAAAAATGTTTCTGATAAATATAAAAATGTATTTCATGGGCAAAACTTACCTCATTTACAATATAGTCCAGAAGTTCAAATATTGACAGTATTATGGGACTATCACCAGTAGGAACATTTAAATTGTCTGGAAAAAAATATACACATATATGAATTATTTTTAAAGATTCATAATTTACATTTCCCCCACCCCCCATAAAAAAAGAAAAGTCAAAGAATTGCAAAAGCCAGAAATTTGCTCATTCTAAATTCAAATAAATGAAAATTTCTGTTAAGTTCTTCAGGGCTGTCTGTCTAAAGAAAGAAAGAACTTTCGAAGTCCAGTTTTTCAAATCCCATTTGAATAAGTGCATTGGCTCATACTTGCACTGTGATCATTTTTTACTAAATCGTTGTCATCCATCTAATTTTGGTTAACAAAAATGAATTTAGTATCCATCTCAAAACTTTGCTCCTTTTTCCCGTGGTAAAATAATTCTGAAATGCTATTTTCATTCGGTAATTGAAGGTAAAATGCTATTTTCAGCAACAATTATTATTTTCTCATTTTCCAGAGCAACTGAATCCAGCAAAGGAATATTTACAAAATTCCCATTTTCAACATTTCCAAATTTTAAGTTGTTCAATAAATGAAAGTAATTTTTCAGTAGCTCTTATTTTGATTTTAAGAGATCCTTGCACTGATGCATCTAACTCAGTCAAGAGGCTAAATATATCTGTTAATAAGACTAGTCAAAATATTAGTTCTTTTCCAAAAACTTTTAACTAAATCAAAGTTTTGGTTAGTAAGAAATTGTACAGTTTCTTCGTGCAATTCAAAACTCTGCTCAGCGTGCAGCCCTTGGAAAGCCACAGTACTTTAGTGTGATAAAGTAGGATAGTACGAAAGTACTTATTTCTTCCCATAAAGTACGAAACATAAAAATCAAATGCTCATCCTCTGATATATTTTTTTATATTAACTACAGTAGTTAATTGTTATTTTAAATTATTTGAAATTTTTTTCAGTGCAAATGCATGATAGCACAACATGCAGTGAATTATTATAATATGCAGTATTTTTGTCTTGATGTACAGAAAAAATCCAGAATTCTTGCCCAACATTGCTGGAGCACAGTCAGTGCAAAGTGAGCTATCACATTCATGGGTATTTGAAATTTTGAAAAGTTTCCAGCAAATACTTCAGATTTCTCTTACACCCCAGATTAAGAACCACTGGTGTAGGACATATAATTATTAATATTATAATTTAAAGTAATCCTTTAATGCTTATCAATATTATGTGAAATTTCAAGAACATACAACTGAACTCCTAAACAACGTGGGAGTTAGAAATGATGAATACATGGTGTTTTGAAAATTTGTTGATAGCTTTTGATTTCTCAGAATGTTAAGTACTTGCCTATTGCTGACAGGAAACTGTACTGATATATTGTAATCTTACAATAAAAAATGTTAGCAAAAAGAAAATGTTATATTAAGAAAATTACAGGTACGAGAAAATACATTTACGATATTATACTATATTTATAGATACTTAAGTTTATGTCCTCTACTTACAAGATACAGATTCTGGCTGTCAGTGCTAACAGCAAGTGCACTTTTATATGATGCTTAACAATATGAATGTTATATATTTTGATAGCTCCAGTTATAATATACATTAGGTTATTTCATATGGCAAAGTACTTAAGAAATATCTGCCTCAGATAGAATGCTTTCGTGAAGGATTTTAGAAGAGAAGCTTGCTTAAATCATATTGCATGGATAAGATCATGAAAAACCCATGCTTCAAGCCATTCAGTTCCTGAGAGTGTTCATTGGTATTACTCTGATAAGCTTCTAGCATGCATAAAAAATGAAATGTTTTGCCAAAATTCCATGCTTGTAAACACAGGAAAAAAAGGGGGAACTACATGTATTTTTATGCATTTACAAAATAGCCCAACATTTTAATATACACTATATTTACTTGCATATTTCCCTCCTGGCACAAGGTTCCAAAATTTGTTTTCAATATTCTCATAATTTTCACTTTCCTTAAGATGTTCAGATAGCAAGCTGTCCTAAATTTTAAAATGGATTTGTCCACAAAGTGATTGTTCTCATCTTAGTAATTGATTTGCTCATGGACTGTGGTGCACGGACTCTGAGCTTCAAGAAAATAGAGATAACTGACATGCGTGATGGTTCTGCATATGGGAAAACAAACTGAAAAGTAATAAAGACGATGGTGACAACTTGCAAGCTGCAGCAAAGACATAGACAGCACTTCCACTGGCTTTAAATTATTTGAGGCCTAGGGATTAATACTAGACAACAGTAAGAGGAGGCAAGATTCAAGATACAGGGAAATAGAAATGAAGATATCTTATTAGATAATTTGATGTTAATATTACTATGTATTCTTATATGTAAGTTCTCATAGTTACAAGATGTTTATTCATGAATACTTTCATTTGTTTAATTTTTACTGTAACTGTGTCCTTCGGATGTTAATCACATAATTTGCTCTCTTGATTTTCGTGACAAAATTAGTAAAAAAAAAAAGGGAGAAATACGTGAGTAAATACGGTGTACATTTTTTTATATACTTACAAATGTAACATATATTTATATGGTACATTTGAAATTTTTTCAAAATTTTAATTCTCCAAACCATTTTCCATTTACTTTGTCAAAAAAATTCAAATAAAATGAAACCACATATTTCAAATCCACATTGTTCATGGGTCAACCATACTTACATTTTACAGAAAATGAACTGATGCCATACAGATAAGAAAACTAAAATAAAATAACTTTTCAAAGTCATTTTGATTCTTCCAAATATTTTAAATTAATATTCAACAATTCATTCACTTTAAACAGCTGAAAGAAATAAAAAAATATATTGAAAATTTTACAGATGCAGTACAGTGATAGAACCGTACAAGATGCAGTGATAGAAACATACAAAATGATTGAAACTGTATATTCAGACAATGTCTTATTCAATGTCATATGTTTTACATACTTGATTTATTGAAAGAAGGGACGACCCAACGAATGCATGCTGTTCTAAGAAAACTATTTGTGTCTTATAACTGGAAATTACCAATCACCTGCAGAAGAAAATTAATCATGTTGTGCTACACCTGTGAGAATGCAATAGTTGCTTCCTCCTCCAAAACATATTGGCATACTCAGCACCAAATGGAACAGAGATCTCAGCCAATTGCAAGATTCCAAATTTCAACCATCCATTTTGCTTTCCAGATCCTGTCTTGTTTCCCAAACTGAAAATGGCATTGAAGGGCAATGTTTCATGAATGCTTAAGACATGAAGAAAACAATGATAATCAGACTTAACAATATTTCAGTGTATAATTTCAAAATAATTTTGAACATTTTATGAAGCATTCAAAATTGTGCATCAAGAAGGAGAATTATTTTGAATAACCATGATCTCAGTTTGCTAAAGTGGCTTTTACTATCTCATAATAGCAGCAATCCTTGAATTTTTCTTTCAAACCTTGCATATTGTCTTATAACAACATAAAACAGCACAATGAAAAAGATATTTAAATTTTTACGTGGCCTGTTCTTTGAGCTTGGTGAAGGACAAGGACATTCCTGATCTGCAGTGTACCTGGAACCAAATATTGCAGCAAGTTCTTTGCTATCAGGTGGTGGAATAGGATACCTTCCGATAGCCATTTCCACAAGTGAAAGTCCTAAACTCCAGATATCAGACTGAACAGTATAATGAGTCCCTTGCAATCGTTCAGGCTATATATACGTTAAAAAAAAAAAAAAAAAAAAAGGATTTAGAGGTTAAAACATATTGCATTTTTTCCATGCACTGATATTAAATAAGTAAGAATGAAATACTTAAACTATTGTTATATCTTATACTAATTTATTATGAATATTTAACAACATATTTATCTTAAAAAATCTCATAATATTGTTACCATACTTTCAAGTTTTCAGCTCCAAATTAATATTAGAGATTGTACTTGATGTGTAAATAAAGCTGAACATTTCAGAAAAATTATTTTCCATTTGAAAAGCATTAGAACTAAACTAAAACATCAATGTTTAGAAAGATCTAAAGGGCACTAGGTATTAAATTAGAAACAATATTTCTAATACAGTCGAATTCAGTTATAATAAGTAACAAAGGATGAGAAAATTTCCTCTTATATATTTTTCCCCTGTATCAATGATATTTAAATATCCATGCAACTGTATGACCCATTTTATGATAAAAATCTACAAATTCCAGTCTGACTCACTGAGAGGTGGCAGGTGGCATGCTTGATATTAAAAAAATAGTAACTTTACCAATAATATCCTTCCTTGACATTATAAAAGTTGTAACTTCACAAATGATGTCATAGCAGCCAACAGCTTTCGGTGTCAATTTCTCTGTCACCAAAATATATCAACTTCAGAAAATCATCAACCTATAAGACCCCTCCTGTAATGTCTGATACTCTCCTCCCTCTTGTGTTCGAGGGAAAACTACACAGCTCCCTCTGGCAACTGATTGCCACTGGGAAGATTCAGTGATGGTTTGGACAATGACTGGATAACGGCATGATTCCCGCAGGCATATATTCATCGAAAATATATACCAGAGCTGCACAGTATCCTGCAGATGTACACTTTTGTCATTTACGACTGGCATCTTAAGTTTTATTATATATTAAATCCTATACGTTTTATTCCTAAATAAATAAATAATTTGTGAAAAAGAAGTGCCTTCTTGAATTACTGCCTTTATCACAATGACAGAAACCCATCACGCCGTCTGAAAAAAATTAAAAAGGATTTGCATAAAATTCATTTGGCAAAACATATTAGTTTGAGCAAGAGAAAACACTCAGTTACACAGAACTTTTAAAAACTACAGCTAGCAAGAACTCGGCCCTTGGACATGAATCCTAAGAAATCTGTTTCATCTGTATTGTCACTGCTCTCCCCTATTACGACTGCAATTTTCTTTCTGCCATTAATAACTATCCCTTTTGCAGAACACTACCATATATGTACATTTAATACTGCATTTATGATCTAGAACACAAAACTATTGCAATTATCACAACTCAATATCAATTGCCACAATGCTGATTAATTATAACCATCACAGAATTCTGCTTATTGAAATTAAATTATTTTCAAATATACCAATATAGAAATTAGATTAAAAATATATTTCATATTTAAAAAATAGTCTCGATACAAAAATAAGTCTTGGAATTTTCATATCTCAAACAAAATAAGTTAATCAAACTATAAGAATACGGATAGCTATTATGATTGTTTAAACAGATAACCTTGTAGAGACATTAGGTTAATTGGAAAAGCTGGAGAGATGAAAAAATTAGCAATGCCTTCGCCAGGAATCAAACCACAGACCTCTGAAATACCGGCCCAGTGTGCAGACCACCACACCACGAAGGCATGCCAAGAAGGTGGGAGAAATACCTTATATACTCCCCCTTTTAAAGGGCGACTGGGGTTTTTAAGGGACCCAATCACCACATCCTGGGTAAGGAGAATCATCATACAACACCCTTTTAGTTTGGGCACCACTGTAGAGACATTAGGTAATTTTTGGAAGGCAGAAGAGATGAAAAATTAGCAACCACCTTCGCCGGGACTCGAACCACCGACCTCTGAAATACCGGCCCAGCGTGCAGAACCACTACACTACGAAGGCACACTAGGAAAGCGGGAGATACACCTTACAACCTCATCCAAAGATTATTTTTAATATTGAATACATACATGGGAAACATCTTATGGTACTTCAAAAATGTAACATGTATTTATAATTAATGTGCATAATAATTAAACATACATATGAATAATTATTTATGGTCTCATTACTTTTTGTGTTTTGGACTTTTCAATTTTTTCAAGCACATTTCAAATCTTCTTGCAGGACTGTATATTTATCAATTTTTAATTTGAATGTCAGAAGTTTAAGGGATAATTTCAACCAAAACCCTTCAGAATTTACATGCTTTTCTTTTCCCCTTTTCTAACAGCCAATTCAGTAATAATGCATATAAGAACTACTGTATTAGAGGAAATTAAAAGTCATACCTACTTGCTACTCCCAGAGATAAAAACAGTCAGTAAAACATAAAGAGAAAACACTTTCAGCTCTTAAAGCAAAACAGCACATCAAAGAAAAACATTGTACTAAGAAAACTACACAGTTTTATAAAATAAATTACAGCTTGTTAGATCCCTTGACATATTTATTCCTATCTTTTGTCTCACAACTCACCAATTATCACATAAATATACAATAAATCTCTGATTTCATACAACACTTTTTGAAAATGGTTTAAATTTAATAATTTTCTAGTACAACTTATTTCAGAATATGCTTATTTAATTGAGTTTGCTACATATTTTGTGAAATCAATATTTGGAAAAAGAATTTTTCTTATCTAATCTTAGAATGATAAAAATAAATAAATATTTTTTTTTACATAATCTGGAGCAAAATTTTATTTGTTAAAATAGTATTCATTTTTAATTAATTTATGTATTGCATAGATAGACTACACTAGCACTTTAAAAAAAAATATGGTTTTGTTAAAAAAAGTTTTGAAAACTTTCTTATTACTTACTGACATATAAGATCTAGTCCCAACAAATGAGTTAGCCATTGAATCAATTAACTGGCCACTAACACCAAAATCACAAATTTTTATTTCTCCCCTTGAATTAACAAGAATGTTTGATGGCTTCACATCTATAAATAATTTTATTGCATTAAACGAAAAAAATGAATCTGAATATTATTTGCAAAATAATTATTTTAAATAATAAAAAAAATGATAAAGTGAAAATGCATATTCATACCTCTGTGCATGATTTGGTGTTTTTCTCGCAAATAATTTAAACCTTTTAAAACCTAAAACAAGAAATTCATTTTGAGGCATATAATTTGATATAAAAAAAATAATATTGCAAAGCATTCTAAACAAGTTTTTAAAGAATGTATGAAACATAAAATTTCATTAACAAATTTATATTTTTCTAATTTACCTAAATTAACAAGAAAAAAAACTTACAGCAATAGTTACTTTTCCTAAAATCTTTTCAGGTATCCTGCCAGCTCTTTTCAAGACTAGATCAAGTGAACCTCCATTCTAAAATAGCAAGAGAATAACTAATGTAATAAGTAATCACACAAAATGTTGATATCTTCTAATTAACAAGTATAACTTTTCTAATTTGCAAGATGAAAAGTCATTTCAAATTTTGACCACCTTTCAACTCAGCATCTTCAAAGCCAAATATTGGGGTGTGTGCAAAAGTTCATACAGGTGAAGCGCATTTACTGACTTTCAGTCTACAATATATTCTCAATTATTTATTCGCAGCCTACGAACTGTCTTTAAATAAAATTTCCACCTTCTTGATGAAGAATTTTTCTCCTCTGATATCCCAGAAGTTCAGGATTTATTGTGAAAATCGTCTACATTATGGTGCTGTATCTCTAAATCAGTTGTGAAATGAACAAAAGAGATGGTAATATATTGTAGCAATATCTAGTAAATACAGAAACATAGTAAGAGCTTCAGTTCAGATAACTACTTAGAGATGTATAGGGTGCATTGTCATGATGAAAAACAGTTCTCTGAAAACTCATCAGTGATAGGCATTCCTTCAAGGTACTGCAAAAATGATCTTATTACTAGTAATGCATTTCAATATTGGATCACTTCTGTGAATGAATTCAATGAAATGAAATTCAATGAATGTTC